AACTATTAATAGAATAATTCAAAACGTACCTGGACCACAAGCATATTTCCTGTCTTCAAATTCTTCTCCAACATAGTTTAGAAGTAAACGAATTGGTTGAGCAAGCTGTAGGTAAATAAAGAAATCATATTCATAGCTCTTTGATTTATGCAGTTTAGTGTTTGACAATTTATTTCTGAAAAGCAAATGGGAAAAAGGAGTAGCAAAAAATTTATATTTTATTTTAATTCATTTTATGTTATTTATATATATAACTTTTATCAAGAATATAATGCCACTCCTGATTTTTTGGGCTTCTGTTGTAGCATTTTTTTAAATTTTATTCTATTTTATTTTATTTGATCTTATTTATATTTATTTATCTAAAAATACTGTTTTGAATATCAATAGTTGAGGTGACGGTTTTGACATCATTTTGTTTGGGTAGGCATATAGTCTTGCAAAATAACAAGGATGCAGTGTGAAATCGATGTCAAATAATTCAGGTGAAATTCTTTTCTAAAAGAATCATTCATTTCAAACGTTTGGAATTGCCTGCCCTAACAAAATGGTGTGRAAATCGTCACCTCAACTATTGGTAACAATGACTTGACGAGTATGATTGTAACATATGCAAATGTTTAATCAAACAATTGGCTCATTTCAAGAAAATATCATTATTTTGTTTCATAACGTATATATGTATATGAAAAAAAGTTCTTCCAAGTCTTCTGTAACGAAAAATGGACTTTTTTAGTGCCTGATCAGAGACCGAGAAATAACTTTCGGTTTATGAAGGTATCGGAGCATAATGCAATGGATCACACGCTAAATACAAAAGAAACCCTCACCACGGGTTACCAAGAAAGGTCGAGCAAATTAATCTTGAGAATCAGTTTCATTCGATGTTTGTATACTTCAACGCATTTATTGAAACTTAGCTTCTTTTAGACATATTTCTCCCTTTCTTACACAAAGTCTTAAAATAGCCTAATAGGCTAGATGCATTGCTAACGAGATATTTTTCTTTCAAGAAAGTTCAGCACGCGGTTCGCTTGACGCTTGCGTTTGAATAGACTGCTAGGTAATCCCATCGCAATCCAACAAAGTTTGAACAACTGTATAACGTTAAATATCAGGACTTACCCCTCTGATGTCCCAGTACGCCAAAACAGTAGCCATATCAATAAAGAAGAAGTCCAACCAACGTATAAAGTTTGGAGGTTTGTACTCTGGTTTAGTACAATTCAACCCTGAGCAGCCTAGCCTTAAAACAGGAAGCCCACACAGCCGGGCGACTTTCTTTAAGATGAAATCTAACAAGTCTCTAATTTCACTATCATTTCACTAGAACTGTGTAAATCTAAACCGTAAATGGCTACAAAACTCGAAGATTATTAGATTATTCATTTTTAGAGATGCACCACTAGCTAGGGCTTTTTAGGGATGCACCATTGGCTAAGTGACCCTTCAGGGATGTTTGTGAAAAAATAACTACAAGAAAACTGGACTTTGAAATACATGGATGCAAGACAAAAATGCATACTTGAGACGAAAAAGCTAGCGTAATACGAAAGACCAAATTAMTAAAGTATATGAAAGTTTTCCAACCCCGGTCACTTTTCTAATGGTGTGGATCCCTTGGTTGCAGAGCGCGGTTCTTGTGTTTAGTAGTGTTAAGTTAATTCAGCGCGCGCYGATTTTACACAGTTTGCGTCACAATGGAAATATGCAGTCGTTTGTAAGTGTATACTTCTAGTACTTACAGTTTTCGAAAATGAAGGTATTTTCTAAAAATCTACGCTACATGCATTTAGACAAAACATACTGTTTACTGTCAGGTGAGTAATAGTATATTAGTTTCTTTTACACTGGGTTAGCCTCAATTGTGGGTATAAAATATGCAAAAATTTAGATAAAACTCGTGAGATTTCAAAACTATTTGCAATGTCTTCACTCACAGACCTCTTGCATTTGCACGGACTGTTAATAAATATATAAGAATACATCACGTGATGGTTTAAGGATAATACAGTGTAAAGGWCATCGCTAAAAGAGTTAATGCTTCTTTAAAGTGGGCGCATTAAACCCGTGAAATAGAATTTAGAATATTGGTATTAACACTATAATGATCGACTTCCTAAATTTACTGACTGTCCCACCCATCTTACGGGAGCTAAACATTATGTTACAATTTATATTTATTTAACAAGGTATATAGTAAGCTTAGGCCTTGTTTACATGAGATAGTCTGGTTCTACTATTTAGGGGTACTCTATGTAGTAAAAATGTAATACAAAAAGAATGAAAGGCCCTATTTATAAATCTTTTTATTTGCTTGTTTCAGGTAAAAACGCTCGCATAGTACTCGAGTTATTTCGTCTGTTAGATGTCCATAATGAAATGGCCCTAAACGACTTACAATTCCTTGCATTCATGCGAGTCTCCACCGACCTCAATGAAAGCGAGATCTACAAAGTTTTCGACATGCTTGACGTGGATGGCTCAGGGACAATTGACTTCGACGAATTTTATTTACTTGTGTGTATTCTAATTGCTGTACAAGACAACGAAGAGAAGCACTTTATTTACAGACATTCGAGAACTGTCTTTGACCTTTTAGATGAAGACAGTAGCGGGAATATTTCGTCGTTCGAGTTTGAGACTTTTGGATTTATGTTCAACCTTCAAGGGAAGGCTATAAGAGATATATTTAAAGAATTTGATGTCTCTGGCGATCAGGTAAGATTCAAATGAATACAATTAAATAAACAAAACAAATAAAAACAAGCAAAATGTAAGCAAATGCATAATTCAATATTCCGCGACAAAACAGGAAATAAGAATATATGACAGAAAGAAACAAAATACAATAACAATGATAATCTTAAAGTCTCACTTGCACGCAAGAAACTTTGCGATCTCTAAAAGCTGCTATCTGATTGGTACAAAATAAAAGATGGCGTATTATATGTGAAAAAATCGCGTAAAGGTTATCGAATGCACGTAAGGCTTGAAATGAAATGCTTTCTTGAGAGGAAATGAACAGATTACTTGCCGATTAAAGTTCKAAATACTAAGTTAGCCTCCTCACAGACATCAGAATCACTGGCTCCCCTTCTTTTTTKGGGAGTCCACTTGTCAAATCGTTATGAAAACTGTGGATGCAGTGCCTAATGAAACAGCACTCAGAATAGACTCTAACCAGCAGTACATAACCATGTACATAACCGTGTACTTCTGTTCTAACTGAAAACTTTGCAGCTAAACTAGTGATTATCAAATGTAACGTTATTGCGTAATAGTGATTATCAAATTGTAACGTTATTGCGTGCACAGCAATTTTCTACATCTATTGTAAACACGATAAAATGTTCATGWCCTATTCAAATACTCGCTTTGGTTCCGCAGAACCAACATCTTGGATTCATTTTCTTCGTTTTGTTTCACTTTAGGAGCTTGACTATTCAGAGTTCAAAATGTTCGCTATGGCGTGYATTGACAGGTGTGCTGAGATTGAGAAATCACTTCCAAGTAACCGCTGCTTAGCAATGGTAGTTCGAGGAATGGAAATGTGCTCTATCACTTAATAACAAAGCAAGGAGGGAATATTAACCGTCATTTTGTAAAAMATATAGAATGGATAGAATAAAAGTCACAAGTTAGAGATGAAGTTAGCTAGTGCACGTTTTTCTGTGACAATTCAGTGTTTTGAACTGAACGATCTAAGTGAAGTTCCTCCCTTCCAGGAATCAGCCTGATCGAATCGATACCTTTACATTCAATGGTGTCCARGTTTGATCCGGTTTAATTGTTAGATTGTTCTTCCAAGTTGACTATTTCCRAAGAGCTTGGTCGATGGAGTCGCTGGACTGGTATACAATGACTCGGTTCCTTTTGAGCTGCATCATAGGGCATTGTGGGATGTGGTAACATTTGCATTTCCAGTTCATGTGGGAGAGCATCGTTTTGCGGGGGRAAACCGAAAAGCTTACGGACAAATTTACGGAATTCAGCAGTGCGAAATCCGTAAAACAAAACACTGTAGAGTGAGTTCAAATGAACGCATAAGACTACCCAAGGATAAATGGCAAAGTAAGAAGGCCCTTTGATATCAKKACCATAGTAGACTTCAAGGCAAGTGMTGATGATTACTGGAAMGWAGCTCACACCAAAWMCCACAACAAGATATGTAGCGGTAGTAGTACATTTTTGATTTGCAATATGTTCCCTCAAAGTGCAAGATTGCTGCTGCTGAGACGAAACACTTTGTTGTKCAAGTATTTCTTTCCGATGCCTGTTTAAAACATGATATATCCGAATGTACCAATACAAAATATTAAATAAAAACATRATTGCAAGAAYGATGTCAATAACTAAAAGATATTTTCTATCTGAATTCATTCTGTCATATATCACCATCTTAATGATATGGACGAACCAATTGGCTACTGACGCGCCAAGAAGTTTCCATACAGTGATGCGGTATGGGTGGTGGAGGGGATCAGTGATGCCAACATATCTCTCATATGTTAGCAAAGCCAGCTGATAAAAAGAAGCAGATGAAAACAARYAGCCACTGAGATAGAAAGCGCTATCAAGCTCACAGTTCCCCTTCTGTCTCAATAAATGATTTAGTTCTTTAGCAACAAAAAGAGGCTGAGCTACCARACCACTAGAGACATCCGCAATCGAAAGAAGACCAAGTGCAACAAACCGAGGTTTTTGCAAGTCTGAAAACTTTGCTACAAGAAGAAGAGTCATTCCATTAAACAGTATAACAAAAGGTATCACCAAACACTGAGCGACTACGGCAAAAACACTAGAAATGTTCGCTGCTTGGTTGGTGAAAGATGGATTCCAGGTGCCTCGTGGGTTCAGTGACATACACTGGGAAGCAGCAGTGTGGTTGTTCATTTTCAAAAGCTGCTGTCAATGTTAATGATGAGTTTACCTGTAAACTGCTTCCAATTGTCTGGTAGTTTGACAATAAAGGCACTTT